ATAAATTATATATATATATATATATATATACATATAAATTCAATAAATAAACCGTGCGCGAACCGTCCAGCACAAGATATAATGAAATGTCCAATTTACATCATTGAAATTGAAAAAAAAAAATGCGGTAATGTGAATGAAATTGATGGCAGTGTAACGTGGGATTAATGGTTGCCCATCGCGTAATTGACGATCGTGTTGATGTACAATAGACATTTCTATTGTTACTACTATTTTTCCATCGTTACTGCTATTTTTCAAAGTCGATAAACTGTCCTTATGTGCATTAAGAGATGTTTTGGCGCATTTTTTATGTAAAATTAGGTTCACATCCCTGTAGCATAATCGAAATAAAATCGAATACTTTAACCAAAATTACAATTTGTAAGTACTTCTACAAAATAAATCGATACGTTAAAAGAATCAACATTCCGGCTCTGAAATATCGTCTACAGTTTTAGAAAAATATAAATTATATATAATTATATATTTATGTAATATTATAATTTAATACATGTAACTAATAAATTTATACATGATATTAATATCAATATACACATATAAACATTATAATATAGTATACAAGACAACATTATAATATAAATACAATAATTATATGTATACAATACATATGTAAATCGCACTACAGTGAATTTTGATATATTTGACTACACGATGATTTTTTTTACATAACAATCATAACACTTTCGCAATTGTTGGCATTTGTACCGGAAATGGCCGATGCCGGGAACACCCAGAATGACGTATGAGGAGGGAGTTATACTTTGCTAATTTGAACTTTTGAACGAAAGCGACAGCAACAACAAACGACTGTCATCGCTGTCGTTCGAGTCCGCGGCCGGATACGCCAGTCTTCTTCGAGTTACGACGACGTTCGATGGATCAGCGCAAATAAACCCGCTGCCTCGACAGAGAAAAATATTTGGTTCAGGTCAAATTCGTGCCGATGGGTTATTTGGTGGCATTACTGTCGTGAACGATAAAAAAAAAAGGAAAAAAGGAAAAGGAAAAAATCCCCGCACGCTCAAGAGATGCGTCTTTTTCACATCTCCGTCCCTATTTTTGCCATCGAAAGTGACACAACAACGAAACAAATACAATAACTTCCATTAATTTAGTAATACCGCACTAAATTGAATGTAAACATTGCAAAATCAATTATGATAATTGATTGGATTATATATATAGTTATTAAAGCGTATTTGTTATTCCGTCCTCGGAGAATAGAAAATCAATAATAGAAAAGAAATTGATTATCGTAACCTTCAGAACAATACAACCTTCAGGAAAAATAATCTGATAATAAACGTAATCTGATAATAAACATTTCACTTAATAAATATTTTATTGCCACATAAGTTTTATTCTCTAAAAAAAATTAGTGATAATTTAATGATTAATTATAAGTCGTCACATATGAAAATACATTTACAAATCTAGTCTTAAAAAATACCTACAATCAAATAAAAAAATATACTACATTTTAATAAATAATTATTTGACTAATACTATATATAATATAACATTTATTTACGAAGAATAAATATTTGCTAAATAAAAAAAAATAAAAAATAGAAGAATTAAATTAATGATTCTTATACTAAATTTAATAAATATATGTTTACATAGTAAATATTCCACTATTCAAACAAATATTAAAATTTAATGCATTTTTTCTTAATGTATAAAGTCTCAACAATCTAGACATCATTACATACAAAAAAAAGTGGATTTTTCTTAAATTACTTTTTACATCTGTTTCTGGAAAGATTAATGCAAAAAAGAAGCTTCATATATAAAATTTCCACTCAAACTTTCTAGACTTTAAGTCGGCAAAAGCTGCTTAACCCTCAAGGTTACGTAATTCCGTAACCATCGAAAGCTTTGCTCGATATTTCTCGCAGTTTTAAATCGCGGTAGCCACGATCGAGGAGATTTCAAGTGGTTTTCCTGCATGTATCGACTATCATGTAGCCACACACTGGCTACGCCGGCTATTACAAATGGATCAACTGTTTCAACCGCAGCGTCAGTAATAACCATCACTGTGTCGGGTTGGTGTCGATCAATGCCACGCATCGCCTCGTCGCATTAACTCGCGGGCTTAAACTCCCGCGAGTTCTTTCGCTCGTACGAGTATATAGTTGCACGCACCTTTTTTTGCACGCGCTAACGCACGCAACGTGACAGTGACGATGTGGGCATATACGTATGTGCGAGCGTGCGTGTGTATGTGTCTGTGTGTGCGTTTGTGTGCCGCACTCCACGTGTATACCTTGGATAAAAATATCCTGAACTTTCTCGACTCTGTCGCCCTCTTCTTCTCCGATCTCTGTCTCTCGACCATTTTTCTCTTTCTTCCTCATTTCTTTTTTTTTTTCTCGTTCCTTTCCCTCACCCTTCTCGCCTCCCAATCCAAGCATTTGCAAATGCGTATCGGAAAGAGCGTATCGCGTGTCGCCGGAGAATGTAGCGGCCGCAGTGACAAGAGGCACGATTTTGCATTAATTACCATATTGCACTGTGATCGTGAGGCCGGGGCCTCTCACCCGAGTGCCTCTTGTTTCACCTCTTCGTAGAATTCGTTCGTTAAGGAGCGACACTTAACCATTGGACGAAGAGACGGCTTCCGCTTGACGTACGTATCACGTCATCGCACAATTTCGTCGCTCTCGTAATCGTGAAGAGTTAATTGCGTGGTGTCAAATGACCAGAAGATGAAGTGCCGAACATAAACTGCTCAAGGAATGCATCAAGTCAAGAAAAACTCAAAATGACTTTTTGTTCAAAAACAAAATTTGACTGTTTATTGACGTTGAGAATAAATTCATTTGAAGTTTTTGTTGACTTTTACGTATTCCTTGAGTGAAAGTAACATTTTTTTTGTTCCTTTAAAGATGCTCCTAAATAACTATGTTGAAAAATCGAACGTTCGTGGTTTGTGAATTCCCATTTGGCGAAGATCCTTTCTTTTTTCCTTTTCTTTTTTTTTTTTTTTCGTGTGGCTATAGGATTGAACAACCTCTCAAAGGAAGTTTTCTTGTCCGACTTTCTAACGTGAAGTTTTTTCAAAGAAAGCGTCGACGTGACTTACCTAACGTAATCGCGTTTGCAGTAAGTTTTGCCGTCCCGCACGAAACAGGTGCATTTCTCGTCCAGAAACTGTTGACACTCGGCACACTTTAAACACGCCGCGTGCCATTCCAGATTAGGTGCTACCCTCAGAATCCACTGGTCGTGAATTCGACCACCGCAGCCAACGCAGAGCGAGCTGCTGCCTTCTGAAACACAAACAATCGGTCTACTTTGAGAGAAGATAAGAGAGAGAAACCTGTTGTCATTCTCCTTCCAAAAAAAATCTTAAAATCTTTTTGTTAGCTATCAAAGGAGCAAGAGCAATCCAGTCTCTGGAATTTGTTATTTTTAACTTTTACGTAATATCAAAATGTATTTATCATAATATCATAAATCAATCCATTTCTGTGGTTAGTTTCAAAGTAAACAACGTATTAATGTATATACTTAGTAAATAATAAACTAAATTTGAGTCAAATTTAACACATTTTTTTTAGTTAAATTGTTTAACTCCAGTTGTTTTAGTTAAATTAATGATATTGAATATAGCAGCAATAGACCTATAGAAATGATAAGATAATTATGTATATTCAAATTGAATATAATTTGATATTATATTGGGTTGTCCGGAAAGTTCGTGCCGATTTTGAAGGAAAATTGAAACGCAGAAGATTTAAATTTTAGTATACATTTATTAAATTTAAATCTTTTGCGACACGAATTTTCCGGATAATCCAATAAATTTAACAGTGTACAATTAGGTTAACGATCAAGTTACGATGTAACTTTTTTCTTAGAATGAAACCATGAAAAATTTCTCCATTACCTTCAATCTTAAAACTTCTCACTTTTCATATTTTTGTCGTTTTTCTTGCTGGAAAAAGTTATATGTAATCATTATGCTGAATCAATCTTTCATACTGAATGTAATGCGGTTCAAAATCGTCAGTTTTGCACTGTTAAGTTCATAATGTCAAATTATATTCAAATTGAGTTATTTTGAATCATTTCTATAAGTCTGCTCCTTTTCAATAAGTCA